GTTTTTTTTTTTTTTTTTTTTTCTTAATACCTTTTTTATTAGCTTTATTTATTTAGTTTAGTTTAGTTTTGTAGTAGATTTATGGGCTTATTTTTGTTATTTATTACACATTTATATGATTTTTTTAATATCAAAATTATTAAATTTTTAATAAATCAAATGGGTAATAAAAAAATATTTTTTTTATAATAAAAGAGAGCGGTGAAATGAGATGTCGAAAGGTGAGCTGATATACTTTGGTCTAGGAAAAAACTCGGTTAACAACTAACTTAGGTGGTTGTTGATAGACGACAGCTCAACTATTCGAGCACATTTTTTCTTTCGATGATGTACCACTTTGGTACAAATAAGCTAAAGTGACCTCTACGTTTTGTGTTTTAACTCAACTGATTAAGATACTTGACATATTGTCATGATCATGTTACTATTAGTTGACTTGTGATATGACTAACAAATTAGAGGTTTTTATCTCTCTATCTTCATTGTTCGTCACTCACTTGTCTGCATTTTTCTTGGCAGTGGATTTTGCGATTGTGCGGCACTCACTTCTCAACACCAAGTGAGTCAAGTTGTATTCACACTTACTTCTCAACACCAAGTGAGTCAAGTCAATTTGTATTCGCACTCACTTCCCGAACACCAAGTGAGTCAAGTCAATTTGTATTCATCACTTAGGGTCAGGAAACTAGGCAACACAACAGTGTATTCATCACTTAGGGTCAGGAAATTAGGCAACACAACAGCTTAAGCAGTATACAAGGGAGAAAACAAAAAAAATAAAATATTAATAAATAAATAGATAGGAGAATTGATGGAAGATGTAAATTGGAGAAAAATAAATTGGTTAATTTTCAACGAAACGGTTGCAATAATGAGTGTTTGAATAATTGAAATCAGCATAAAAACTTTACCTTTGTCTTCAACTCTCCCTTTGTTCACCAACCACATTTTTTTTCCCCTCAAATCTCCAAATCCCAATTCCCAATTCCCAAGCTCTACACCAACCTCATCAATGGCGTCTTCAGCTTCCACCCCTTTGACCGAACCCCGTGTTCCTCCTTCTCCGCTTCCACCTACTCCTTCGTCTCACCAACGCAAGTCCTGCGCGCAATTCCTCTCCAAATCTCTCTTCTTCTGCATTCTCCTCCTCCTCCTCCCTCTCTTCCCTTCCGAAGCGCCGGATTTCGTCAACCAGACTTCTCTCTCCAAATTCTGGGAGCTTTTTCACCTCTTGTTCGTCGGCATTGCTGTTTCGTATGGTCTCTTTAGCAGAAGGAGCATCCAGGTCAGTTTAGACGAACCTCGATTCTCCAATTTTGAAAACTCACAGTCGTACTTGTCTAAGATGTTTCACGTCGCTCCGATTTTTGAAAATGTTGACGATTTGAGTGCTTCTGATGAGAGGAAATTAAGTGAAGTTTCGTACATTAAGCTGAATTCTGGATCCGTGAACGAGTTTGGAGATTTCAATGCTCCGCCTCGCGAACAGGAAAAACTTCATTACTCCGTTCTCAAAAAAAGGTACGAAAATTCTCATGAATTGATTGATACTGATAATGTCGGTCATGCTTGTAAATCGAGATATAATCGGGATGGATCTGTAGTGTTAGTTGCTGAAACAAATCGTAGTTCTAGTGAATGGATGGAATCAGAAGCCATTGTTGATTATAAACCTCTAGGTTTGCCTGTTAGGAGTCTGAGGTCGAATCTTACTGAACCCGATCTGAGGCCGAATCTTACTGAACCCGATGATGTCGAATTGGATAGTGGTGATGAATCTTGCTTGAGTTCTAAAAGTTCATCCAGTAGCTATGAGAATGATTATGAAAGAACAAGTGAATTTGGTGATAATTGTTGTACGAATTTGGAGGAGAAGTTTGATGAAGCTGTGATTTCATCATTGTCCCCATATCAATTGCGTGAGAAATTTGGAAAGAAGGTTATGAGAGATAGAGGAGCTGGAAATGCTGTTCTTCACCCTTCCCATTTTAGACCTCCCTCCATTGATGAAGCTCAGTTTGAATCACATAAAGAACCTAGGCCTCTTCGTTCTACTCTGTCTCAGCCACCACCACAAACTAGTTCCTTCTCTCCGCCATTGTCATCAACGACAAGAACGCATCGTAAAATGTCGTCGCTCGGCGATATTTCCTCTAAGTTATTGCATTCTCAACAATACAGTATGAGATCTCTGTCTGAAAACAGTAGAGGGGGCTCTGAAGACCCTCTGATTGAGCTAGAAAATTCATCTGATTTCAATGGATCCACAGTAAGTTCCCCACATTTAGACCAGAGTTTTGCAAGTATTCCGAAAATCTTATCCCGGGGAAAATCTGTTAGAACAATTAGAGCAAATGCAGTAACAATGGAGGAAGCGATCAACCAAGAGATCAAAAACCAAGTTGAGAATGATAACAATACAAGAGAAGATGGAATGCGACATGGGCGGCCTAGTATTGTTAACCCGAATGCTCGTAATCCAAATCGTTTGTCGAAGACGACATTCTTGGGGATTGAGAAGCAGAAGGAAGACACTGAGAGTCTACTCACAGATGATGGTAAAGACCAGTCTGAGAGGGAGGATGAAACTATTTTTGGAAATTCAGATGAAGAAGCTGCTTCAAGCATGGCGGGAGATTCGGAATCGGGGGCGCATGAGGTCGACAAGAAAGCTGGGGAGTTCATAGCCAAGTTTAGGGAGCAAATACATCTTCAGAGGATGGCTTCAGCAGATAAAAGATTGAGAGGAGGATGGGGTTCATTCAGCAGCACAAGCAGCAGCCATTTCAGTTGATTCGCAAAGGCTTTTACTCTTAAAATGGCCTTCTAAGCCCTTTATACATTCAAGGTTAAATATGTAATTTGGACGGTACGATATTATCATTTTTTTATTTTGTTTTTTTTTTAATATTTGAAAGTTTCGATGAGATCCCCGTTCCTATCTCCCTCCTCGTCGAAAAGATAATTGGTATCTTATGCATTGAGTTATGTTCGTATCGATAGAATATTTATATTGACATTACACAATAACAATCGAAGTCCACTGTTACCAGATATTGTTCTCTTTCAATTTTCCTTTTTGAGTTTTTTTTGCAATGTTTTTAAAACGGGTCTAGGAAGAAATTTTCATAATTTCTCCCTTTTATAAACATTGTTTCGTTCCCAACCTAAATTTTTAAATAAAAATGATTAAATTTTATTTGGGAAATGATAATATAAAAACATATTAAATCTAGAATATTTATTAATTCTTAAATTATTTTTATAATTTTGGATATCTTGGAGTGGTATTAAAAATTACTTCTCAAACCAATTAAATTTAAAAGTAAAAAAAAGAAAAAGAAAAAGAAAAAGAAAAAGAAAAGAATATATATATATATATTGGATCAAATTTTATTATTATTATTTTTATTTATTTATTTATTTATTTATATCAAATTATTATTTGAAACAATCACGGTGTAGCGGCGTTCTTCAGTAATCTTCTGTTCTAAAGCCTCGAAGGATCAAATCTATCTCATAGATTGTTTTCATTCTGAATTCTGGGCTACCGAAGACCAAATTTCTGTGATTTCGGTGATTTTCCTTCACATCTTGAAATGGACAAGGTTGCAGAGGAGGTCGATCGGGTCAAAAATGAGTGGAACGACGCTTTCCATCAGACTCTTGACCGGATTAAGGCAATCGAATCATACAAGAAACAAAGTGGATCGACGGACACGAATTCGCTCCCGAGATTGAATGCTTTGGCTCAAGATGGTTTGAATCTGCTGTCGTCGTTGGAATTCAAGCTCGATCTTCTTGCGCCTCAACTGCTCTCTGATTCTGAAGTCGAGGCTGCTCAATCTCTTCTCGAATCTTGGAAAAACCAATCCCACAAGTAACGAATCTAACTCCTACTTTCTGATTCCTGTGGAAGAGGAGTGGAATTACTGGAATCGCTCCTTTCTGTAATTCTTCGGCGATGAAAGTGATCGGTGATTGTCCTTTGGTTGTAATGAGTTTTGTTTTTGCAACTTCGTGTGTATTTGTTTCAGTTTGCGGTCGAGTCTGAGAAATGCCAATATGCAAGCGAAAGCCAACATGAGAAAAGCTGCTCAGGAGGAGGTGATTAATTCCAACTGGTTTTGTTAAATTGTGATGAACAGTTTCTGATTAGCCCTAGTTTTCTGAATGATCAAATGCGGTATTTCTCCATGATTTCCTAAATGTGAAGATTTATATAAGATTCCATTACTTCTTCAAAGTGAAAATTTACAGTGTGCTCAGAATTTTGGTGAATTTGCAGAGAGAACAGCTTCTTGGTGGAGGAGAAGAGTCCACAATTCGCAGACGGAATTTACAGTTTGTTGTCAAAACTTAAACGTTTTGAGAAGTTTTATCTAATTCTTTCTTAAAACTGTCTTATTGAACTTCGTTGTTTCTCTCCTTTTGCAGAACTAAGGCTGGAATGACATCTGCTGCCGAAAGCATCACCGAGAGCCTTCGCCGAACCCGTCAGCTTATGGTTCAGGTCGGTTTCTGGTGTTTTCTGTTCTATTTACTTTGTGATCTTGATTGAATTTTAAATTTTCTTTCTCTTAACAATGGAATGTTCTTGTATATCTTATTATCTGTAGGAGGTGGAAAGAACTGCAAGCACAATTGAGACTTTCGGTACGTTTATGAAAATCTGCGTATGTCATTTGTGTTCCGTTTCGAGTCGATTAGTCAGTTTTACTTTGTTCAGTGTGTTCAATTATATCTTGATGGTAGAGATTACAAAGCAAATGAACTTGTAAGAATATGCTGTAAACCATGTATAGCAGTGGCAGCCATGATCATATCTTAAGCTAAGCAATAAAAGGGAAATTCCACAGTTGTAGATTTTATTCATTCCCTCAGTTGACAAACTGGAAACTAAGACATAACTTAGTGTTTATTTATACATGAAAATCTTTGTTTAGCATTTAATATGAGTAATTACCATCTCATATAGTGATCTAGAACTACATTAGTCATCTTGATCCTAGGGAAATGATAAGGAAATGAATGAGGCAACTTGGATCTATAGTCTTTTCATTCATTTGTTACGTGGACTGGACCGTCGGGAAACCCAGATTAAATCCGATTGTTCTGCTGTTTGCTTAGGCTAGGACTAGTTATGTAAGCATAGTTTAGAAATTTATGATATGTATGCAAGCCAAATTATGACCATGATGTCTTGCCGAAGGAGTTGTCGCCCATTACCAAGAATAGGAAAAGAAATGGATAGAGTTCGAGTCATAACAACTCAAAGCAAAGAATCGAAATATATACCAAGCTCCAAACCCTTTTCCAGGACTCCTCAAATACTAAGATAGATCTTGCTTTCCTTTCAAGCCCAATGAAGCAAATAGCGGTAAGGATTATGCCTTGTCGAAGGAGTTGTCGCCTATCACGTAATGGGGATTCATAAGAACCTCTTCCATTATAGCACGACGAGGATTATCGTGTATAGAGCACCAAAACAGGGGATTTAAAAGATGGTCCTCAATGATGGGACATTTTTAAGCTGTCATGATTTCTTAGTTTAGACTAGATTTTTTAAAATCATATGATAAAGCACCAGCAGATGGTACTGTTTCTCTGAATGATTTCATGGAACTGTGGTCAACAAGTAGAGCTTACTTTACATGTTTATTTGGCTTTTACAGAGGAATCGACTGGAGTGTTAAAGAAGGCTGAGAGTGAATATAAGGGACACCGCTCGTTGTTAACACGAACCAGAAACTTACTTTCCACAATGCAACGGCAAGATGTAATGGACAGGTAAATAGATGATTACTTGCAACCCCTCTAAATAAAAGTTCTTTCATAGGTTAAATTACAAATCAATTTGATCTTAACTATGATGATTATATCGATTTAGTCCATAATTTTAAAAAGCTTTAATTGTTTTCTGAATTTTTGAATTTCGATTCTATTTCGTCTTTATTGTTAACAGTGTTTGAGTAGAGACCGATGTTGTTCTGTACAACATGATGGATATATAGAAGAAATTGACTATAAAATAGAATGATAATCTAGAAAATATGATTTGATACATTGCTTCAAATAGATATTCATCCAAGTTTTAGAACTAAATTTGTAATTCAACCTCCTTTTATGCTAAAAAAATCTTAAAATGACAGGATCATTCTGGCAGTCGGATTTTTCTTTTTCTCTCTTGCTGTTCTTTATGTCGTCTCCAAACGTATTGGGCTACTGAAGTTGCAGAGGATGGCCACTGCTGCCATCAAAGCTGGGATGGTCAAGCAAGCAAACCAAATTCCTAGAGATGGTGGTAGGAATCCAGTTCAAGCCAACGAGGATTTAATTCACAGAGTTGCAGAGCCACAGGAACGACGTGTTTGGGATGAACTTTGAAGCGTTGTATACATTGGGATATAAGGGATATGGTCAAATTGCATATCTCCAGAGTTATATCCTTTTCTGGCCACAGTTTTGAAGTATAACATTTCGACCATGGTTTCCTGTGTAGTAAAATTCCGAGTTCAGTCTGAAAATGATTTAAACAGTGTACTTGTGTGGGAAAAACTACCCATTAAAGAAGACACCTTTTTGACTGTGTTAGACAACATTAGTAAATATTCTTTGTGCAAGAACTTTAAGCCGGCTATTTTCTTCTCCACCCTATACACCACTTGTCACAATCCCACTCTTGATGACAGCGGACTTGCGATTGTGCAGCACTTACTTTCCAACGACAAGTGAGCTAAGTCAATTCGTTCCTACGTCGTCTACGACCAAGCGACGTATGCTTGAGCCTCTAGCCTCGATTTAAGAGAAGGTTTTAGAAACGAGGGTAGAGAGAGATTTTTGAAGGAGACGTTATATAAGCAAGCAAGAGAGTAACGACGACTCACAGTATATAACCTTGGGTAGGAAGATAACTCATTTGAAACATAAATATTTTGGATTCACAAAAAAGACCAATTGAGCTTCTTCAAACAAGGAGCTGGGTTCTAAGAGCTAATTCATTTTAGTCTTTAACTCGCGCTTGAGGACAATAAGATAGGGAAGGAGCGAAGCAGTGAGACCAATAGAATAGGTTCAGGGGCGAAGCCAAGCCAAGCCAAGCCACTTTCAAGAAGGGAAGGGAATAGAGGTTCAGGTTTCGGAGAAAGAATATGCTTTACCTTGTTCAACCCGGCGAATGAGCGAAGCCATGAGACCGATAGGGAGAGGAGTTCAGTCCTATTGATTCAAACACAAGGTAAAGAAGTAGCTCTTTGATTGAAACACTCTTCTCCTTCTCGGTCTCATTGCTTCGCTCCTTCACCTATTCTGTATGGTCTAATTGAGGATCTTTTTTAGTTCATCCAAATTGAACTTTTGTAAGAAAGATTCATTCGACTCAATTCCTTGCAGCTCAATCACCTATTTTATTGGTCTCACACTGATTCTAACGAGGACAGCCAGACTACTATAGCGAGTCTAGTAACTCATAAAAGATATTGACACATTGCTACAAGGTCCCAATTTGCCCCTTTAGAATCATTGATTGGTTTGTTTGGTTTACATTTGGCTCTTGGTAGAGATAGTTGCACCATGATTATTAACAGGTGCTTGTGAGTTTGGTTCACAATTCTTGAACCAATCACCTCTTTATAATCATCCAATTCTTGAACCAATATAGATATTTACATTATGTTTGGTTCGTTTGGTTTACATTAGGGTTTTATTGTCAGCAAGTTGAACTCAAAAAGCAAACTCAAGCTTAAGGTAGGTTGATGCTGCTGCTCAAAGTTTAAGTTGACGTTGAAAAGCTTAAACTAAGACTCAACATAGAATCTCAAACAAGAGACATTGTCTCCATGATCCTAAAATACGAAGCTTTCCTTTCCAAACATGGTTTAAGTTTGCATGTCATGAATCTCTTAAGGAGGTTCTGTTCATACTTTCTTGTGGAATGGGTCAGATTTCAAATGAGGAATTAGTTTTCCTACATCGAACTTACCTACAAGACAAAGACAAAGGTTTTCACGACAATAAATATTCTTAGAACGAACCCTTCTACTAGGGTTACACAATATACACCGACCTATCTCTACACTAAGCGAATTAGCAAATAGAGTATTCAAGAATTCACTACTTGCAATTTGATTTTATTAGTGTACCTATACTTTCATGCATCAAGAATTGTCATATTTTATTTCCATAAAATACACTTATAATGTAACAATATACTCTACAGCGAAACCATTTAGCCATTGTACTGCTACGGGTACTACACTGGTACACAAGGTGTTTGATGACCAGACAAATATCATTCTACTATACGACACGCATGATATGACTACAACATTTATTAAAACAATTAAGCTTCTATCCTTGAACCCGAAAATAAACCCCCGAACCTTCTGGATTAGCGTGAAACTGCCCGTAAAATGCATAGACGATTACTGTAATAATACTGACCACCACAAATCTAACCCATGCTTCTTGGTGCAACTGCAAAAAAAAAAAAAAAAAGAAAAAAAGAAAAAAAGAACGTTGGTCAACTAACTAGCTCAGCCATACTTCAACCGTTGTATTTTCTTCTTTATAGTCTCTACATTTCCTTAAAAAATTTCGTTGACGTCTGACACTAGTTCAAATCTATTTTAAACCCAACACTTGATATGCTACATGTGGATTCAAAAAGTTCATACCGCAGACATTAACAAAATATGTAAATGAACAAAAGGCATAACTATAATACGCTTCTAATAAAAAGGTATTTTCGTGAAAAATTTAGGAACTAAAGAAAAAGTTTAAACAACGAAATAATTTGCACCGTAAGGTATATAGATGGTTGTACCTGAGCAAATAGGAACATGTTGAAGAATATGCAAAGAGCCGGCACAAAGGGAACTCCAGGACAGGGAAATCCTGGCACATCCCCATGGACCTGAGAAAAAGGGCAGTGAAAAATGAGTTATAGAAGTAGAAAAATGAAACCCGGCGCATTTCTACAAATTCTCAGAATAGAGCTTCCCAACACTTGCAACTGTAACTACCAGATCAAAAGCTAGCAGACCAGAAGTACAGAAACAAAAAAGATATTGCAAATACCCCAATTTTATTCTCGGGAAAGGTAGCCGATATGTATAATAAACTAGTTGAGTTTCAGTCATGAATGTAGTTAGAGCCAAATCATGGATAAACTTTAAGCAACAGTAGAAGAAAGACAACGTTCACAATTGTTATCCTAACGTGTATCATCCGAATGGAAAATACCCTTTGAATAAGATCAATTTAGTATTACATTTGACAAATGAAGGTGGACAAAATTAAGTGAAGAAATGTAATCAGAAGATCCTATCAAGAAAAGATTAGGATCAACGAAGATCACAAAGATCGGAATTAGAAGCAGTAGTTCACACTTTGATCAATTAGAAAAATGGTTCATTGGTTAAAATATTTTTCAAATAATCAAGTTTCAAATCCTTTCATACTGAAATTTCCAATCGTACGATTAGTAGTTTTTCTCTATAAAATAAACATCTCTTACCAATTTCCATGCCTACAAGAAAACTGAATACTCTTCAAGAGAAAATAAGAAAAAGAGAGAATTTGTTCTTTGTGCCTATTATCAAAGCTAGAGCTAAAAAGATAATTGTACTCACATGGCGAAAATGAAGAGCGATGGCTGCAAGTAATGCAAAAACAGCAGCTACAATAGAAACCCATGGCCAACCAACCCGGTAGAATAATCCAGCACCAAAACCACAGCAAGCAACTACCACAAGACAGATGACACCTTCTCGCCAGGTTGAAGAAGACACCTGACTGGCTGTTCTGTCTTTCCAACGCAGGGTGACAACACAAGCCGAGACAACAGAGTATCCAGTCTGAATCCAACAGCAACAAATGGAGCTCAAGTGTTGCATAAAAGGCTAATTAGCAATACGAACTTAGAAACGAAGATAAGCCAACATACCAAGGTGCCAACTGAAAGAATACGAGAGAGTGAGTGAATATTGAATAGTCCAGCCAACACGCCAGCTACAATACCAACCCAGACTTGAGAAGTGATAGGAGTGTGGTGTTTGGAGTCCACTTCAGAAAAAAAAGAAGGCAGCAAACCATCTCTCCCAAGCCCAAGATATAGACGAGACTGTTTTGCACACCCCATCAATTGGCATAAATACAAAATGTGAAGTAAACGCAAATAGTTATTGAGTCTGAAATAAATCACCTGAACATAAAGACCAACAAGAAGGGTCGTTGTAAGTCCAGCAATAGCACCAACGCTTATCAAGAAAGAAACAAATTTCAAGCCTTTGGATGTAAAAGCTTCAGCCAAGGGAGCATCTTCCCCAAGAAGATAATAAGGAACCATTCCAGTAATCACTAAGCAGACTCCAATATATAGAGCAATGCAAATAAGAAGACTTCCGATTATGCCAATTGGTAAATCCCTCTGAACGGAACAATATTAAAAAGGAAAAGTCAGTTGCTTTAAATCTTACGAAGTTTATGCTACTATTTGAAGTTACAAAATTGAGTGAATCGTGGTACTCAAACATAAAGGGAAGCAACTTAGTTTAATACCCTCGGACTTTTTGATTCTTCGGCTGAATTTGCAACTGCATCGAAGCCTACATATGCGAAGAATACTACAGTAGCTCCAGTTAACACTGATTGGAAACCATTTGGAGAAAAAGGAGACCAATTTGAAACATCAACCTCAAAAGCACCAGCAAAGATGACACACACGACAATGATAACCTGCAGACAAGTTCAACTTCAAACGTTCATTACATATATTTTTCATTCTCATCAAACCTTTTTCTAGTCATTGATTTTTTTAACAAGAGACAAAACCTTCCATTGATAAAATGAAACGAGAATAATGCTCACAAACGATACAAACTCCACAAGGGAGTGAAACAAGGAAAAAAAAAAAAAAAAAAAAAAAAAAAAAAAAAAA